GCCCCGCGGCCCGGGCACCGCCGCGTCCGCTCCCGGTTGCAGGCGCCCGCGAGCCGGATGCGGTGCGTGGACGAAAGATGCATCATGGAATGAATCCGAGCCCGGGGGACGGATTTCTGCAGCAGCAGCAACCCCCGCCGCCGCAGCCGCCGCAGCCGCCGCCCCCCCGCAGGCTGCTGGCCGCCGTCCTGGGGATCCAGCTGGCGCTGTGCTTCGGCCCCGCACAGCTCACAGGCGGTGAGTGACCGCAGGGCCCGCGCCGCGGGGGAGGGCGCGGGTCTGAGCCCACCCTCCGCCGGGACCCCCGGAAGTCTCCCGATGCCTGCGTGCGGCACGCCGGGGGAGCACACACCGCCGCATAGTGCCTGGAGCTGCCCAGCGGCCGCGCAACCTGGCTCCTCCGAAGGCGGCACAGTGAGCCGGTCCATTCGTCTCACTTGGGCCACCGGGGAGCCAGAGACGGAGAGAGGGCGTTTCTGTGCTGAGCGCGCGTTTGGGGGCCTTGCGCCGCGTCGGTGCTCTCAGCGGAGAGAGGCCAGGTGTCAGGTGTCAGACAGAGGCCGGGGCAAGTTGCCAGGAACACCCCCCCCTCCCTTGTGAGTGTGAAAGGTCTGAGGACCCGGCCAGGATGGCGGAGGGACTGTCTGTCGGGAAGTTAACTTTCTCGTTTCTTGGAAGGTGGTGAGTTCCCGCACCCCTGCGTGTGTGGGGGGGGAGCGCAGAGGGGTCCCAGCAGGGGGGCGGGGGCGCGGAGGGGTTCCCGCGGGGGGGGCGGGGGCGCGGAGGGGTCCCCTCAGGGGCGCTTCTGGAGGATGGCTTCGGTTCTCCATGTCTGATTTACAGGAGAATACAGTCAAGGGCGTGTGTGAGGGGGAAGCTGGCTGAAATAAAATTGATAGCCTTGGTCCCCACCAGGGGCTGAGCCTCCCTGTGTTGGCTTCTGGGGGAGGGGGCTCTGTGGCCCGCGATCCGCGGTGGAGGAGGACGGATGGAGTCCCCGGGAGCATTTGGGAGCGCACTGGTGTCCGTTCCCGATTTCTGGGAGAGCTTGCTCAGGTGGACCTGGGAAAGGGCAGACTCACGTTTCCAAGCTGAACTACTGTTCATATATAAGTAAATGATAATTGGTGGAAAAGCAGATATCGATTGCTATCAATAAACTATTTCCTGTTTAAAGTATTGCTGTTTCAGAGAGTGAAGGTGAACAAGGAGAGACATGAGAGGCAAACTAGTAAACGTGGGGGAGGAAAAGCAGAGCAATCCAGAACTCCGGCGTTGTGCAGAGAGATCTGGATGTCCGGAGCATGAGGGAGCTTTCTGGGTGTGCATGTTTCAAAATTAATGAGAGGACACTTGCTTTGCTTTAGGGACACGGTTTTGGCTTTATTTGGTTTTCTAACAAGGAGTGACTTTTTGGGCGTTCATAGTTCTAGAGAAACGTCTCTGAGGTGGGTGTCCTCTTCCCAGAGGTCGAGGTCAAGTGGGAGGCGAGGCCAGCCGCTGTGCCGCTTGCGGGACTCTGGTTGGAGCCTCTGTGCTGCTCTGAATTAGCTCTGCTTCTCTGGTGTGTGGGCACAGGTGGGCAGGAAAGCACGAGTGGCGGTGGGCCTCTCCCTTCCTTCTTCACTTCCCCTGGTTCTAGCTTTGATCCCTCCAACGCGGTCCATGCCACCCTTCCATCCCCTCGGTCCATTTCTCCCATGTAGATGACAGATTGTCAGGGTTCATCTGCGTGGCTCTTGACCAGTTACTGGACGTGTGAGCTTCTCAAACTGGGCTGTGTTCCTGGGTCTGCTGTTCATGTTCACAGAGATTCTCCTGAAAGATCTCAGAGCTCGGTGCACCGCCTGGCCCCCTCGGGCTCACGTTAGTCCTTTACCCCCCTCTTCGAAGGGAGAAGACGTCAGGCACCAGCATCCAGGACGGAGGAGAAGCAGGGAGGAAGGGGTTGCCTGTCAGCCCTCAGTTCAGAGCTGTTCCTTCTCAGGCACTCACACGCCGCAGAAAGGCTAGGACCACCTCTGTTTCACACTGAACTCTTTCAGGCTGCGAGGGTGACTCCTGGGAGAGTATTTATCATTTCACGATTCCTTTGTGGATAAACAGCGTGGGTGGAGAGGGTGGTGGGGGTGTTCTGTGGAGTACACTATACAGAGACTTCTTTCTCAGGGCAGAAACTCACGTGGAGGCTCCTGGATAGTAATAAAAGCAAATCCCTTAATTCTAGACCTGTGCTTCTAAGACTTTGACGTGCATTCTGTCACCTGGTATCTTACTGAAAGGCAGGTTCTGGTTCAGTTGGTTTGGGGTGGGGGGGGGCAGAAGATTCCACATTTCCGACAAGCTCCCAGGTGATGTGTGGCTAATGGTTCAAGACTACTCTGATGAGCGGTGCTTTAGACTGAGGCATCCTTAAACATGTTGTTTCTGACCCTAGAATCACTCCCAGTTACCAAATGCAAGGGCCTGGGCGGGGGTTGGGGGAAGCAGAGGCCTCCTAATCTTCCCCTGAGGCACAGAGCTGAAAACCAGCCCTCCCAGAGTGCTTTCTTTCTTTTTTTTTTTTTTGTTCACAAAAAAGATGCATGTTTAATAGATACTGTTTTAAATTGTGGATTTTCATTTTTGATTGCTTTCACTGGAAAAAGAAACGGCACAATAGTAAGATATTATAGTCTGAGCTAGGAGGAAAAAACAGGTGTTCAATGCACGTATTACAGAAAAAGCCCAAGCTAGAAAGGGAGAAATTAAGAAGACGATCAGACGAAGAGGGTAAAGAACTCTATCAAAAAGGAGATGCTTTGTCCTCAAAAGGCAGACTCACTTCAATTCTGCAAGTCCTAGGAGAGAATCTGTGAGCCTGAGTTTGCTTGAGATGACTTTTGGGTGGCTCTTTCCAGGTTGTCTTTTGTAGGTTAGGGAAGAGGGCCCTCATCTGGGGCCACTAAGACCAGATACCCTTAGAGGACTAACAGCAGTCTTACAGGGGGACACAGGACCCGCCGTCCCTAGGGACTGCATGGAGGGTGGTTTCAGCTGCTTCTCTCCCTCCAGAGACCTGCAGGGTGTTTACCTGCAGGGATGAGGGCTCAGAGTTTGCTCTGTAAGTCCGTCCCTGAAGGCAGATTCATTAGCACATCCCTGTGTTGTGAGGAATGTAGGCCAGGCTCTGTGACTCCATAGCTTTGGGGCCTTGCACTTCGGAAGCCTAGTGTCCTCATCTGTAAACCGGGGATGGTGCTGCCTTACTTCAGGGGTTGGTGTGTGGACGGAAACCGTGTAGGTACGCAGTAAGTGCAGGGGATGGCGCCGGAATCTTCCAGGCCTTTGCTTTATTCATTCAGGAAATACTGAGTGCCCGACCATACCCTGTGCCAAGCACTGTTGTGTACAATGTTCTTTTACCTAGAACAACCCTCTCTTACTCCCTATTTTTTTGCCCAATGAACAAGTTTCACTTCAAAACAACTTCAAGTGCCATAATCTCTTTCATATTTCCCTGGTCACTGGGCTGTCCCTTCACCTGGGCTCTCATTGCACTAAGTATAACCCTCCCTTATGGGTCAGTCTCACCCGCTGGACGGTAAGCCCACTGAAGGCAAGAAGCCGGGCTTTATTCACCTCTGTGTTTCAGGCGCTCAGCACAGCATGTGACACACAGGAGATGCTCGGCTGATGTTGATTGACAGCGGAAAGGAGTCCCAAATTACTGTCACACTGTTGAGAAAATAATGACCATGGGTGGTCACAAATGTGCCAGTTTCATGGCTATTGAGGCCATGTCCTTTTGGAGGTGGTCTAGGAGGTTGGAGGAGAAATCAGGAAAGGTGCTAGAGCGGAGGTGACCCTTAGGCTGAGGTCTGAGGGAGGGATGGTTGGAGTCCTGCAAAGGGAGAGACACCTTGTGCAAGTGTGGGGGCGGTCATGTGCTTGCATGTTCAGGGAGAGTCAGGCTGATCTAGAACAGCACACCTGTGGGGAGCCAGGAGAGCGGGGAGGATCTAGAACAGCAGACCCGTGGGGAGCCAGGAGAGCGGGGCTGATCTAGAACAGCAGACCCGTGGGGGGGGCAGGAGAGCAGGGCTGATCTAGAACAGCAGACTCGAGGGGAGCCAGGAGGGTCAGGCTGATCTAGAACAGCAGACCCGCGGGGAGCCAGGCGAGCGGGGCTGATCTAGAACAGCAGACCCGCGGGGAGCCGGGTGAGCGGGGCTGATCTAGAACAGCAGACCCGTGGGGGGCCAGGAGAGCAGGGCTGATCTAGAACAGCAGACTCGAGGGGAGCCAGGAGGATCAGGCTGATCTAGAACAGCACACCATTGGGGAGCCAGGCGAGCAGGGCTGATCTAGAACAGCATACCCATGGGGAGCCAGGAGGGTCAGGCTGATCCAGAACAGCACACCCACGGGGAGCCAGGAAAGCAGGGCTGATCTAGAACAGCAGACCCGTGAGGAGGCAGGACAGTAAGGAGGACAAATAGGTTGCAACCCTATTGTAAAGAACCTTGGAAGCCGGTGAAGATTCTGAACATCACACTGCAGGCCGTGAGCACTTGCCGAGGGGTTTAGGGCAGGTGCGTGATACCGTCTGAGCTCTGCTTGGTTTCCGTTTTCTGCTTGCAAATCTCCGACCTGGGCCCTCCACTCAGCTGCCCTCTCTGTGGGTCAGAGTTAGGGCACCCGTGCTGGGGAATGAGGCTGCTTGAGGTCTTGCTGAGGCTGTGGCACTGGGCTGTGTGCCTGCAGTGGGTGACACGTGCTTTGCCTGGCTCACTGATTCCATGATGCTGGCGTCTCGGTGGAGTCTCATCGAGAAGGTTTCTTACCTGGTAGAGTGGGAGCTTTCATCCAACTCGATGTCTAAAAGTCACGGTTTCAAAGTGCGCTTAATCTGCAAGCGAAAGTCCCAACTTCTCAAGCTACAAAGTATGTGTCTTCAGCAAAAGCCCACCTTAATACATGTGAGCAGCATGGAAACTCTTTCGATTTATCCACAAGGTGGAATCTGAGAGCTTTTGGAGACACGAGAAGGGTTTCCTACAACAAGCAGCAAGTCTCTGCTCTCAGAGGCCTGAGGGGAGTCTGTTGGTCTCTAATTCCTGTGGGTAACAAAGAGTGTAGGTGAAGATCTCTCTCCAGTAAATATTGATTGGACACGCGAAGAAAAGCACCCACAGTCTCTGCTCCTGGCGTCGGAGGCATATTTCAGAAGCTTCCAAAAGGCCAGGAGACTAGCC